TTCAGCCACTTTAGTAGCCGCTTCTAGCTTTTCGTGGCGGCGTTTGTGGCTGTGCGACACTTAAATGCGTTAATTTATTTGTTTCTTGACGTATCGCTTCATTTTCAGGTTGCGTCGGTCGTCAAAATTCTGATATTAGAAGATTCTTTAACTGCACTAAAACCAAATGGATTTTAGAAATTCTGATTCGTATTTAAAATATGTATGAAAAATCTTTTAATATCGTGGAAGTTGCCGAAAGTCGAGTCGGTATCGATCCCTTCCCGAGTTGATATGTGTACTATGATTCTAAGTCGTAACTAGGATTTTCCCTATATTTACCATCATGGTCAATACTAAAGACCAAACTCTAAAATGTCAATTTAATTTAATTAGTCATTGGTGTCAATTCGGGCATGACTCTCTAATACTAAACTTAATTTTGACAACAGTGTATCCCTGTCATTCTCCATACAGTATGAAAAGGACATACTGATGTTTTTAGTTTTAACTTTAGAGAATCCTTCCAGAATCGACACCATTATGTCATCCTTTTCCATATACCATTGCTCAGTATCTACCTCAATGAAAGGAACACCATCGACTTTAGTTAGACTTTAGACTTTTGGTAAAACTTAGCATATTTAATTGCCTTTAACCAAAATAGGACTTAATTTAGTAAATCCTCCTAAAATACCCTTATTGTAGCGTCCAGCCTTGACCTAACAGAATCCTGTGCAGTCAAATAATGCTATTCTTTAGAGTTGTCGTCGTTGCAGTAGAAGAATTAAATAACTAACAGAACCCAACTTCCGAAATAGTTGTGATTTAGTTTTTTCCATTAAAAAATCAAATAACTTTTTATTGTTAAGAAAATTTATTTTGTCAGTCTTTTGATATATTGCCGTTTACGTATATAAGTATGTACAGGATACTTTAAAAGGGTATATTTAGGTTATGTGAAAATAGTGCGAAAACAAAAGTTTTCAATCTATTAATTACTTACGATTTTGCCATTGATTTTTTTCAATAGAAGTTGTACTTCTCCCGAACATCGCGATAATTTTTTTCTTCACTCAAGAATTGTGACGACGCATTTGCATTCTTCTGAGATTTTTTTCCATAGTTATGTATATTTTTTTGTCATCCAAGAGAAACAAGAGGTTCCAAAGAACAAAGAGTGCATCAAACTTAATTAAAAATCCACTTCTTTGATGGGAGATTTTTCAGTTGAAAATGAGGTTTCATTTGAAAACAAGGATACTAAATCATTACATTAGATTTGATAAAACACAGATCCTTGCAACTGAACAACGATTCATTCCTAGGATGATTACGCGAGGCTATTGAGATTAAGTAACATCCAAATTTCAATAGAGAAGTTGGTTTATATATACTACCAGATTGGGAACCTATTATACAACAGATAAAATCCCAACCCTGAACATACACTGCAAGGGCAACAGATACTATAACTTATTTTTGTTTACATGATTTAACATAAGAAGGAGACAAAAAGCCTCTCTGAGTTCGTTTCGCCAGTTTTTCTTCTCAGAAAGTTCTCCCTATTTGGAACTGGTGGTAGTTTACGGTAGTTATAAACAAACACCTCGAGCCTCTTCAATTACGCCTTGACATGGCGTCACTAAGTGCGTTCTATCGTCTGTACCACAGCGAGTGTTCTGAGGAATTATTCTCTCTTATTCCACCTTCCCCTTTCCTTCAGAGGACCACGCGCTCTGGCATTCGTTGTCACCGTCTAACCGTGGCCACAATTCCAACGCGAAAAAAGAAATTTGGTGACTCATTTCTTTGTCGCACTATCTCACATGTTCCCTCCTTCTTACAACCTGGGATTCTTTAAAAGAGGCGTGAAAAAGCAACATGCAGGCCAGCAAGTTGTGGCAGGTAGGTACTGCTGTACCAGCTATCTTCACGTCTGGACTTCACCGTCACTTAACATCAGGTGGGGTGGAGTAATTTGTTGGGCCGATATATAAAAAAAAGTAAGGGTCAATTAAATGAACACAAAAATTAAAAAAAAGAATTAAATCAAGTAATTTATTAATTAAATTATGCTAATAAGTTCATACATAGACAATAATATTTCAATAATCTTCAATGAAGTATCCGAACGTTCAAACGAAGACGAAGAGTGTGTCTCTCGTCTCTGGGCCTTTTGAGACTAATTTCCCTTGCTCTTATTTTGAGAAGCAGGAATTTTCCTGGACGGTTGGTTTTTTTTTGTTTTTGTAAATTAATACAAAAAAAATTGTGCCCTCGTTCTTATTATACTATCAGATTCTCGAGGTATTTTTTACAAGGGTTTAAGCTAAAAGTCTAGCAGATACCTAGGTAAATGCATAAAAATATACTTTATTAATAAACCAGTTGGTTGAAAAGTGTGTGTGTGTGTTTTTTAACGAACAGAATTTAACGGATTCAATATAAGGTAAGTTTAAAATTGCGCGGACATGGTTCACCCTGACCCCATGACCCCTGAGTCGGTTAATCCTGTCAACCTAACTCACTGCACTGACACAACGTCGTTGTATTGGAAGAATCACAACTGAAACTTTTAGAATTCACTTTTTAAATTATTCATACAGTGGAAAGAGTGCTCTATGTTTTGATCTCTTTTTCATTGCGATTTGTTCCATTGATATTTTTTTTAATAAGTTTATCTGAAGAGAAAGTTGACCAAAAATTATAACACTGTTATAATTTTGTTTCTTAAGTTTTCACGCACACCACTCATTAAATGAAACCCATTTAGGGTTCAAAGTGCGTCTTTTTATTACCTTTTTGAAGTTTCGCATTTTTTCAGGCTGGTATGATTTTTACATACTTTTGTCGAGCTACCTTCGAAAGACTTTTATTGAACGTTCGGATACTTCATTGAAGATTATTGAAATATTATTGTCTATGTATGAACTTATTAGCATAATTTAATTAATAAATTACTTGATTTAATTCTTTTTTTTAATTTTTGTGTTCATTTAATTGACCCTTACTTTTTTTTATATATCGGCCCAACAAATTACTCCACCCCACCTGATGTTAAGTGACGGTGAAGTCCAGACGTGAAGATAGCTGGTACAGCAGTACCTACCTGCCACAACTTGCTGGCCTGCATGTTGCTTTTTCACGCCTCTTTTAAAGAATCCCAGGTTGTAAGAAGGAGGGAACATGTGAGATAGTGCGACAAAGAAATGAGTCACCAAATTTCTTTTTTCGCGTTGGAATTGTGGCCACGGTTAGACGGTGACAACGAATGCCAGAGCGCGTGGTCCTCTGAAGGAAAGGGGAAGGTGGAATAAGAGAGAATAATTCCTCAGAACACTCGCTGTGGTACAGACGATAGAACGCACTTAGTGACGCCATGTCAAGGCGTAATTGAAGAGGCTCGAGGTGTTTGTTTATAACTACCGTAAACTACCACCAGTTCCAAATAGGGAGAACTTTCTGAGAAGAAAAACTGGAATCATACCAGCCTGAAAAAATGCGAAACTTCAAAAAGGTAATAAAAAGACGCACTTTGAACCCTAAATGGGTTTCATTTAATGAGTGGTGTGCGTGAAAACTTAAGAAACAAAATTATAACAGTGTTATAATTTTTGGTCAACTTTCTCTTCAGATAAACTTATTAAAAAAAATATCAATGGAACAAATCGCAATGAAAAAGAGATCAAAACATAGAGCACTCTTTCCACTGTATGAATAATTTAAAAAGTGAATTCTAAAAGTTTCAGTTGTGATTCTTCCAATACAACGACGTTGTGTCAGTGCAGTGAGTTAGGTTGACAGGATTAACCGACTCAGGGGTCATGGGGTCAGGGTGAACCATGTCCGCGCAATTTTAAACTTACCTTATATTGAATCCGTTAAATTCTGTTCGTTAAAAAACACACACACACACTTTTCAACCAACTGGTTTATTAATAAAGTATATTTTTATGCATTTACCTAGGTATCTGCTAGACTTTTAGCTTAAACCCTTGTAAAAAATACCTCGAGAATCTGATAGTATAATAAGAACGAGGGCACAATTTTTTTTGTATTAATTTACAAAAACAAAAAAAAACCAACCGTCCAGGAAAATTCCTGCTTCTCAAAATAAGAGCAAGGGAAATTAGTCTCAAAAGGCCCAGAGACGAGAGTGTGTCGAAGGTACCTTTTGAGAATTTCCCTGGACCGTTGGTTGTTTTTTGTTTTTGTAAAAATAAAGCTATTTAACGAACATGATTCCTAAAACAAAACGTGAAGTCATTCTCTTTTTCTCAACACAGGTAACGACATCTTTTGAGTAATAGCAGAACTTGTGTTTACGCCATCTAGTAGTAACAAGAAAAACTAATAAATTTACTTGAAAGCTCTTTGAACATGAGTGCTTTTTAAAGCTCTACCTAAAGCAACTTTGTGATTCTCACGTTTAAATTGAATTCTGTGTTGAAAACATACTGCGTTAATATAAATAAATAAATAAATATCAGTCAATAGTATTTGATTTTAGTTTATCAATGACATCATCGCTAACCGCCAGATATTTGGTAGTTTTCAAACAAGCGTACATAATACGCTTGGTATCTTTGCCACTAGATGGCGCTTCTTAAATGAGTATCGTCACGACGATCGAGTACTATTTTTTATTTTAAAATAAATTATAAACAATTTACATATTCATTAAAATAAGCTTTAAAACAAAATCAATGCACAAAGCAGATAAAGAAACAACTTAGATACTACGAGTACTAGCATAAAATAAAAAACAAGCTCAGATTCTATTTCACAATAAGTAGGTCATACTCCAGACAACCAATGAGCAAAATTTGAAAAAGATTGAAATTCAAATTTATTTTTTCGCTTATTAAAATATCCCTGATCCTTTAAAAAACAAACGATACAATGTTATCGCCAGTATTTCGATTGCGCGCCACTCAATATAATTATTTTGCTGCGATGCGAGTAATTGTAAAATTGTATACATTTGTCCTCTGCTTGTTTCTCTAAAAAATGTCATGATGAATAGTATTTTATTGTTGTTGTGTCTGGTTACGGTCCAATCTAGTAAGTATCTAGTAATTATTTGAATAGGTATTATTTTATGAGCGGTAAGGCTTAAGTGCGTGCCGCCGGTGTTCATCGATTTATAAGACGTTATCACGTCAATAACATTTACAGAACCCACAGAAGAGATTCGTAAAGTGCTGAAACAAAATATTAAAACTATTAATAAAACAAGAAGAATACTCGGCGGTCATCAAGCTGGCGAAACAAGACCGTATATGGTAATTAAAAATCTTATTAAATTCTTATCTATACTTATAATAAATCTGTAGAGAGGTCAATTCTGTACATGAAATATATTTTCAAAATAACTATCAGGGGGTGATAAGTGATCGATACTGATGCCAAAAATGCAATCAGTATAATTTTTGTCTGTCTGTCTGTCTGTCTGTGTGTATGTTCCTTATAGAAACAAAAACTACTCGACGGATTTTAACGAAACTTGGTACAATTATTCTTCATACTCCTGGGCAGGTTATAGTATACTTTTGATCACGCTACAATCAATAGGAGCAGAGTAGTGAAGGGAAATGTTGGGAAAACGGGAGAAGTTACTCCATTTTTTAAGCTTCCGTCGCGTGTGGAGCCTTAATGGTTAAAGTTACATAGAAATCATGTATGACGGAAATATTTAACATAAAATTGTCTAAAAAATATCCCGCAACAGCATATGTCTATCTTTTATGGTTGACTCACAATAACACGTGTAACTCCTGATAGCTTAGCAGTTCGGAGCATTCTGATTATATTTGTTTACTCTTACGTTTATAATACTCTCACTCATCCCTAATTTAAAAAAGTTAACATTATTACCTATTCAATAAAAAAAGAATCATAGAAATCGGTATAGAAACACCAAACTTATACATGAAATAAGCCATCGCGCCGTCGCCCGTGAATACTGAATCATGCTTTAAGGATTATTTTTGTGTAACGGCTGCCGCGCTCGACACGGGTCGTGGCGGCGCGGTAGGGTATAAAAAGGCGGGAGGTCCGAAAGCGAGCTTCCCCGCCCCCCCGATCCTGAGAGACCTGCAGTCGCTCAGTCCCAAACCGATACGGATGCACATCAGGGTGCATTCGTTCTCTAAGCGCACTATGCAGTAGTATTAACTAAGGCAGCGCTGCATCATCCCCTTCTCAGGGGTTGATCGCATCAGATGAAGCCTGTAAAGCCCCTAAGGCCATAGGCACCCCCCACGGGTGTGTTTTAGTCAGTAAGAGTCTGACATAACTCTACAGCCGGCTGTAGGGTATCCATGAGGATTTCACAACCGCTCCCCCGGCTGGGAGGAAACAAAAAAAAAGAAAGCGAGCTTCATTTAATATTTGGCTGTTGATGCGTTCAGAGCGTTCGACCTTATTGACAGACAATAATTGATATTGAGAAACCGTGCTTATCTTAGAATAAAAACCAAACATTTGTAAACAAAATTAGCAAATAAATCGTGTAAAACGTGTAGAAAATGAGTACTGGAAAACGGAAATATGAGAATTTTAGTTTGGTTATAAATACAGGTAATAAAAATGACCGTTATTATCTATATATGTTTAAAAAAGTCAAAGGTGACTGACTGACATAGTGATTTATCAACACACAGCCCAAACTACTGGACGGATCGGGCTGAAATTTGGCATGCAGGTATATGTTATGACGTAGGCATCCGCTAAGAAAGGATTTTGATCAATTCTACCCCCAAGGGGATAAAATAGGGAATGAAAGTTTGTATGAAACTTTGTCAATTTTAAACCGATCGGGCTGAGACTTTGCATGCAGGTATAAGAAGAATCATAGATGAATGTCATTGTGTATAATACAAGCCTGACAACAAACACTGTAGTCTATACTTCAGCTCTACACCGAAGCGAAGCGAGGGCGGACCGCTAGTACACAATAAAATAAATTGATGGTTGTTTGTACCCACGTTTCTACAAATTCAGAACAAGACAGCGTTTTTATTGCATATTGAACTATACTTATATTAAAGTAACATTACTACATTAAAGTATAAAAAAATATAACACTCAACACGGCCGGGCGAACTTCGTACCGCCATCTTTTTGCGTTTGTTTTTTTTTTATATTTTTTTCTTCAAACTCCTTTACTCTTCTGAACGTGAACCTGTCCTGACAATAACGAACACAATAAAAAGTACCTATCCCATTTGGTGTAGTAAGTCGGTCGATTCGGTATGGATGGAAATGGGAGATTGGGCCATGCATGCCTCACCACGCTCTCTATGCAGATTAGTGCAAGAAAGGCTAACTTAACAGCTTAAAGTGCCTTCCGAAGCAAAATAAAAAATATTTGGTCACTGGCTAATGTGAGTGTTGTTTAACTTCTACGGACGCAGGCTGAACTACTTTTTTATATGCAAATAACTCTACCTGATGTTAAGTGCTGGTAAAGTCCAGATACCAAGTCCAGAAGGTAGCTGGTGTAGCAGTTATGAACTGCTACACCAACCATCCTCAATTTACCGCATTGCAGAAATGTTTCTTCACGCCTCTTTTAAAGATCCCAGATTGCAGGAAAGAGGTAATACGTGCGCGGGCAAAGAACCTGCGAATAGTACGACTAAGATATAAGTCACCAAATTACTTTGTTCGTGTTGGAATACTTCCACCATCGAGCTCCTGTATCAAACACACAACTAAATTCATCTCCTAGGTGTATCTAAGACCCGCGTCAGGGTCTGAGCTCAGTGTCCAGGACAACAACTGGCTGTGCGCTGGAGTCATTATACACGAGCAATACGTTCTCACGTCGGCGGCATGCATCGAGGATGCCAAACAATTTTATGTGGTCTCCGGAACGCACAGGTAACATTGTTTATATTCCGATAAACGAACTAGGAGTTTTAATTTTATTGATCATCATCATTATGCCTATAACAGGCAGCCTATTATTGTCCCCACTGCTGAGGAATAGACGTGTCATGATAACCGATCAGGAGCCATCACTCGGGCCCAGTGCGGATTGGCGAGCGTTAACGACTGCAGATGCGAAAGTTCCCACGGCTTATATTCTAAGATTAAAACAAGAAGGGAAGATACGGTATGCTCAAACTAGCATCGAATAATATTGATCCGACTCAAATACATAAGCAACTCTCACACACGCACACGTCTGTATTAAACATTAAATCGAGCGAGCCAAACGGCGAGTCCACTTCTGACTCCGTACGGCTGAGCTGTATATGCTATTGTCCTTTTCTTGATAACAAAATGGCGAATACGTTAATAACATACACAACAAGCCGTGATTTTTGTGAAAATAATGTTTTTACAGTTTTACGAATGAAAAATGTTGCTGAGGCATTTGTTATTTGATTTTGAACTATTTGTGTTCTTTATAAAAGCATCGAAGGCATTATTTTGTCTTTATAACACAGAATATGCGCAATATTGTTATATTGAGTGCACATGCAGCGTGTTTGAATGTCCAATTGTAACTAAAACGAATAGTGGTTATGCACCACAATTTAAGCGGATCTCTTTTGAGCCGAGTGTGCCGTGTCTTCCCTTTTTGTTTGAATCTAAGCTTATAATATTACCAAGGGCGGATCCAGCTTTGGCGTCAGGGGGAGGTCATATAGCCAGCTTTGGCGCCAGGGGGGGGTCATATGGTCGTGGTATATTAAATATTACCATACCATACCATAGAAAGTACTTAAATAAAATCCTCCTGGGTTTGGTCCATCTGTACCCAGCCCAGGGGGGGTCATGACCCCCATGACCCCCCCCCCCCCCCTGGATCAGCCCTTGAATGTTACCTTATTACTGAATAAAATGTGGATCAATTTCATTACAGTTTCTTGTAATCCATGTTTAGGTGGGTGCCACCATCGGAAACAAATGAATGCATAAATAACGGAGCCAAGAAAGCAGTGTGGAAATGTGTACCAAAGTGTGAGTACGTACCAAATGTAGAGTGTAAAATTTAGGTAGTCTTCTACATATATAAAACTTCTGAGATACAACCTTAAGGGGATTAGTAGGCCGTGAAAACCGTATAAATATCTGATGAGTAGCAAAAATACACACAGGGAGCGCGCACAGGGTCATTCTTTAATAATCTTCCTTCTCAGTGGCTCACTACATTTTTTTATATAATGGTGATAATGATGACGTCTACTTTGGATTAACGGAGCCCATGTGTTTCACCTTCACTTACCCATTTCTATCTATGGCTTCAGTAGAACATTGAACTATCCAAAGAGTTCCAACTCTGTGCAGCAGCTTTTATTATAATGCGTCTGATTAAGTCTCTAACGCCCGTGAACGTTTGCCCTCTATTTATTCTTGATCTAATGTAGTATTTCTTCCTAAAATTGATTGCCCAACGATCCATCCTCCAGTGTATTACTTCGACGGTAACGAGTTCGACAACATCCGATGGATGGTCAGAGATATAGCGGTGGTGAAGGTAGAAGACGAATTCAACTTCAAGAGGCGCGTGCGCGGCTGCGATTTCGTGCCCAACAAGATCGCATACAACAACATCTCTGATGACCTGGAGAAGCCCGGCACCGCCGGATCCATAGCTGGCTGGGGATCCACGGAGAGCTTCACTGATGTAAAGTTTTTGCATGATAATAGAAATATGTTCATTTGGAGCATTTCCCATACGATAGGCAATTATAGGCATTAGTTTTTGTTCGTCAAGATCGCATACAACAACATCACTGATGATCTGGAGAAGCTGAGCACCGTCGGATCCATACCCGGCTGGGGATCTACGGAGAGCTTTATTTATAGACGTTTATAGAAGGTTTTTGCATGTTAATAGAAATCTATTTATTTGTGCCATTTTCCATACAGTAGGCATTAGTTTGTGTTTAGCAAGTTTACGCGCAATAACATCACCGATGACCTGGAGAAGCCGGGCACCGCACCGTAGGCTTGATTGCTGGCTGGGGATCCCCAGAAAGCTTTGCTGACGCAAGGCTTTTGCATGATTGTTAAAAGCTATTTATATAGGGCATTATTGAAACGGAGGGCAGTTTGTGCCTGTAAAAACCGGGCTTCGCTGATTAGTTAAGCGTAACTATACGATTATATTTGTTTCGGGTTATTGCCCATACGGTGTTATTGACAAGGAACTTAAAAACCATACGTCGGTACACGACAAAACCTCTGCCTTAATCCATGTGCGACAGTGAGGAGGTTTCAATCATCTCTTCCATAAGGGTCGACACAATTTAAAACCTATTTTTACACAATTAGGAAGTTACTAAAGATTTCAACAAAACAATTATAGATTTTGAATACAGCCCTGGCCCTATTTCTATAGTCTTCTTTCAGGGTCTATGAGTAATGAGCAGGGACGCATAATCAAATAAGTATTATCACTTCAGGTTCTTGCAGCAGGAAGAACTGACACAGTGAATTCACCGGATCTATTAGAAGCGGATGTTGTTTTGCAATCGAAGAAGAACTGCAAGAGGAGATGGGACGCTCGGTACCACCATATCATAGACGAGGACATGATCTGCGCCAAAGACAACGTGGACTCGGAGTCTATGAGCGGTTTGTGTGGTGTGAGTTTCTTACAATCATACTCAGAAACGTCAAATGCTTTTTTGAGTGACGTGTTCTCTTATTATGTTTGTCTCACAAAGAAACTGACAGCATTATCTTGGTAAAAATGACAACCTCTTTTGTGTGAGCGACTCAAATATCGCTAAGATAGCAAATGCGACAGAAAAGGGGCTAGGCTAATTGGTGTCAGTGTTAATATTTATATATATTTTTTTTCTGTTGATAAGTAAGGTTTCGGGGATCTGCGTCAGGTTCGTGGATTAGGTTCAGAACAAAGAGGTAAAATGGCTAAAGCAGCACATTTTTCTCCCGTCTCTGCTATCGCTGCCACTGGATTCAACTTACATTTGACATCAAATCAGATTATGCCCTTTTGTACAAGTATCATAAATTAAGTAGCCACATACGTATAAAAATTATTTTCTGAACAAAATATAAATAAGATGTCTGTTTTGAGTGTTAATAATAAACTAATAATTACTCAGAATCGGCTGGCCAAAAATATACCTTCATCCACAAACACAAATACAGCAGCACACTGGACAGCAAAGAAATCAGGTCCATTGCTACCTCAGAATTGTGATTTAATTTTCTCAAAAAGTATAAAACTTTCAACTATCAAAGCTATATATACAGAAAGAGCGTTTCATATGATTAAAATAAACAGGAATTTACTGAGATTAATATTTTTTAAAGTTTTTATTAAGAGTTTTCAAAGAAGAGTCGTTTTCCAATTTCTACGAAAACTATGGACAAAAATAAAGAATTAATAAGAAATATCATAATTTGATAAATAAAAAAGAACATAAATCGCAACTTTATGCAAAAAATAGCTAAGCGTTTTTATAATGTTTTATTCATTTCATTCTTGATTACACAGTAAGTTGACAATACTTTACAATAAAATTTTATTCACGTTTACATCATGAAACGTACTATTTAAAGTTATGGATAACTTTAATAGTTATTAGTTTAATTATTTTTATGAAAATCTAATCAGAGTTCAAAGGATAGCGGGTGATCCGTTATCTTTGCAGTTGAGTGTACCTATACATATAGGTAACTTACCATTAACGATCTCTCATCTGCTAACTCAGTTCATATCATCAAAATTATATTTGTTCATTTTGTTGGAGTCTAGGAACATGAAGTGAACTGCACTGAGCTGGTGTACTCTGATGTGGAAGAGCAACAGGACACCAGACGTCTCGTAGTGGACCCTAGAAAGACACTTGTCCACACATCTTCTCACGGGTCTATTATGGAAACCAGAAGAGCTAAGGTGACCACGGGAGGATTTTGCGAGGTGAAGCCTTTAGCTTATATTAAATTAATCAAAGTTCTACGATTAAGAATCTAACTTCCAGAAATGCTGATGGTGCTACGATATTTTTGACGACCTCCGTGGCCGAGTGGCGTGTACGTCGGGTTTCAAGGTGTCGCCTACCCGAGAGGTCTCGGGTTAGAATCCCGGTGGGGGAAGATGTTTGTGTGACGAATACGAGCATTTGTACTTCAGTCATGGATGCTTAATATGTTTTTCTATATAAATATACTTGTATATGTATATTCTGTCCGTTACCCTAGTATCCCATTCCACAAGCCTACAGTGCTTACTTTGCGGATAGGCTATTTGGTGTGTGTTTAAAAAAACTAAGAATTCGGAACTGCCCTCCGTGTTGAAGAATATCCACAAGGAATTGTTTGGTTTCCTATAAAAAAATATGTAAACTCAAATAGCCCACCTGCTGGTGGGCGTCCACCAAAGGCTTTTTTAATACTAGTCACAGTATCACAGATCCTGCATTAGCTATCCAGCCCCTTAAAGAATTTTCAAAATCCGTTAAGTACTTCCGAAAATTACTTCATTCGTGCAACCAAACTTTTGATATCTTTAAAATATTAGTCGGTGCAGATTCGGTAGCGTAAATGCTTACCGCAAAAATTAACAATCTCGAGCTTCATGGTGTCTCAGTGCCTCGGAGGGACCGTTAAGCCATTTGTTCTGGCTGCATCTGCAGTCCTTAGCACTTCGTACGGCGCCCACATGGTAGGTCAGGGCCTATTCTCCCTATTCCATCCATAGGAAAAGTCTGTGCCCTAGCAGTGGGGACATTAGTTATCTGATGATGATGAAGTTCTTTTAGAATGACCACGGGGGCCCTCTCGTGGTGGGCCGCGGTAAGACCGCCGTCGTCGTGGGAGTAATCTCGGCCTGTCAGACGTTTGATATGTCTCTCAAGTGTCACGGGCCATACCTCTACACCAGTGTCTACAATAACAGACGCCTCATCAACTGCGCTATCACTAAAGAAATGGGGTGAGTGGGTTTTTTTTTATAGAAAGGTAGACAAATGACTCTACCCCTCCTGATGTTAAGTGGTGATAAAGTCCAAACGTGACGCTGAGCTGGTACAGCAGTTATAAGGTGCTACACCAACCATCCTCACCTTGCCGGACTGCAAAAATGCTTCTTCACGCCTCTCTTAAAGTACCCCAGATTGTAGGAAGGAGGGAACACGTGCGCGGATAAAGAATTCCACTTAGTAGTAAGACCAGATTCACGCTGGTGCTCATGCTACGGGGTCGTGAATTGAATGGCGGCATGATGAGCCGGCGGCGTTTTGAATGAAGGAAAATAGGAAGCTTTGCGTTCGCGTGATCGTATGATACGTCATCTTATCCACGACACCGACTAACTAGAGCCGAGGTCCGAGTCTCTGAGACGCCCTCTAGTTAAGCTAACCCCCTCAGGTTCGAGTGGTCTAGACGGAGAGGAGACTCCCCCCGCGGGTAGATGCCATTCGCCTGGAATACTTCTAGACACCACTCGCCAATTTTCGGCTTGAGGTTCCCATAACATCTCGCTGTCCCCAAACCCTGTAACGCTGTAAAGGTCATCTGCGACAAACAGCATACACACTCAAAAAACGTCATCTTACCAATAGCCACTAATACAAATGTATTGTCACTTGGTCTGATACAGATTTTTTAAACAGATCCTCTATTAATTGTATTAATTGGTGTCCGTAAATATCCATCGAAATACAAAAGTCATTTGTGTGATGACAACAAAAAATAAAAAGCACTTTTAAAAAAATATATGTATCTGTTTTATTTTGCAGTTGCTGTGATTAGAAGCTCATGATGGGATTTCATGATGTCAGATTTCTTTAGTTTAGTATGGGTTCACAAAATTAAGCAATTTACATTTCTTTGTTTACATTAGATATTACTGGAAACAAATTATACATTTAAAATAAGTATGCATTTGTAATTATTGTTTTAATAATATTTATTTATACAGCTTCTTGTTTTTTAAATTAAAGCCTATTTATATTTTTAATTAAGATACGTCAAAAGCGTGATATTTGCCTGGAAAAGGCTATATTTTTGTGATGTAATTCAACAGTGATGAAATTAACTGCCTGTACTAAATTAAAACGTGGTCTTTTCAGTCTTAATGATAACTGTTGTTGTAGCTCAGGCCAATGGGTTGGTGTACCTTCCGAAACACGTGATGACGAAATAATATTTTTGGCCACGAATCCTGTGACTGGACATTACGACAGTTGCTTAACTTTCATGATCGATGTCTGATGCTGAATGTATTTTTTTACAGAGAAACGTGTAGAAGGTTGCTTCGTTCCATGAAGACTCAAATGACAGAAACATTTTTCGACTGGTCTCTTAGGTATAACTAAGTATAATTCTTTTAAATTTTAATATACTATTAAAGGTTTCCAGTGGCAGTGGATGTTTTAATGAGTGAGTTTTTGGTCAAAAACTGTTTAACTTATATTCAAAATATTGTGAAAGTTGCAAAAGCCAGTGCAACTCAGATATAGAGAAATAAATCTCTTTTTAATACAACAGCCAAAAACAACGCAGTTAGTAAAAGTTAGAAAAATGAAGGAGGTACCTACTTACGTTTTAATTGTTGACGATGAACAGCCTCTCCCTTTTGCTACCGAAAATTTCCGACTAACCGTGACAAACCGAACCTTCGCTGGCATAAGGCGGCTTCTTCACTGAAACGGCACGTGCTCGTTTTGCTTTGATTTCTGTACCGAGTCTGTACATACTTGTTGATCAAGAACCACTTCTTGACCGATTCGATTTCGGTGTGGTATCGTTTCGTTTTGTATGCTACAGTTTTGTTTGCAGGAGTCCCGTTCGTAGCACTCGCTAGCAACCGGTACAGAGAGGTGTGTTTCCGCTCGTTAAATAATTATCTGCACCGATACAACTGAGTGAGCAAGCTATCATTTAATTACATGCACTCGGTAAAGATTCTGTACAGAAACGAAAGGAGCCTGCACCAACCCGATGAGGAGAGGGGCCTAAGTTCGATTCCATACAAACTTATGTCAGTGAGAGTTCGGTTTGTTTCTACTACTAATAAGCCTACTTTCGAAAATGCTTATAGATGTAGATATTCTATCTCTATTTTACTTTAAACAATTGACAAAAAAGAGCATCAAGCCTGCATTAGATTTAACAATGTTGGTGCAAGTGGCATCATATATTTATTATTTAAGTTAAGTACCTACTAAATTGTATTGAACCAGTTTGGTCACTTAATTTTGCTCTTCTCGTGACTACGATATTGGTACTGCTTATGGCATAAAACAATTTTCCACTTCCGAATTGAAAAAATCTTCCTTCATACTTTTTGTTTAGTTAAACTCTATATAACGCTTTTGTTTCCAGAGCAATAGTTCCAAAGCCAGTTAATAAATCTGTCGCCGTTAAAAGCAACGGTAAAAATGTTTCCGGAACAACCAAGAAAGTCTTCCGAAATATAATTTATTAATAACATTTTCATAATAAAATGCATAACTTTGAATGGTGTTTTATTACTTTAAAATAAATGCAATGATTGAAAGACTTCTTTAGGCTGTTTTGTTAAATTAATATTGCTTAATTGACTCACCCAAGAGCCTCAAATCATCCCTTAAAATTCATAATTTACATTTTTCTTAAATCGGTACGATTTTTAAATAGTGTAAGTCAATCATTTCAATTTCGGAGTGAAGAACAAAAAATTAACACTGATCAAATTTAATTTATTAATTCTCATTTGTTTCCTACAAATCAACCAATGTGAGTGTTTAAAAAAACAACTAATTTTGAATACATTAGTAACACTTCACCAGGGTGACCGCAGGACACCTTCTTAAGTACATCCGGCCTATTCGTCAACTTTTTTGACATTTACAGTGTGTAACTAAAGAGAAATTTGCATATCCATAGATGCTTTTCAGAACAAGAGTTTTAGTGGCGTTATAATAAAGCAGTAGTGAATCACTATATAGCTCGGAGATTATCACTTCCATCTGTCAAAAGCAGTTAGTATAGGCTACGGATAGGTACTCTTCAACAGCCTCTTCTGGAGATAATCGAATGTTTATGTCAATCACTGCGATGCTTCTCCCACAAGTCTGCGCCGTTCAGCCAAGCTATCAAACTTTAAAATCAAGACTAATTTAAGTTTGCATTCTTAAGAAACTTTTGTATCGACGCACTTACACACAGGCACATTCTTTGCGTAGCGCCACAGTTGCGCGCCGGGCTATACATTGCGTACTAGAAAAAAATGTTTTTTTTAACTTTTATATAAAAATGATTGCCATGTATTATATTTTGTAATATTACTTGTTTGGGTGTACAGAATGCGTAGTTTTAGTCTTTGTCAGAGGTTTTTTTACACCCTGTATATAGAGAATTAATTTAGGTGCCTCGTTTCACGCATAATAACTAAGTCGATATATCTCAACTTATCGAAAACTAAATAAAATTAGTTTTTCACGGGTTAATGCACGAAACTTTATTTATTTATTGGCGTTTCGCAGCCTTTACAGGCTGCGTCGTCGGAGTCGATTTTTTATTTAATTTTGTCGAGCTACCTTCGAAAGACTTTTATTGAGCGTTCGGTTATTTCATTGTTCGATTTTTAAGTTTTGTTGTCTATGTATGAATTTATTACTTAATTTAGTTAATAAAGTACTGTATTTAAAAATCTTTTTTGTAATTTTGAAGTTATTTATTTGACCCTAACTACCGTAAACTACCACCGGTTCCAAAATTGGGAGAGCTTTCTGAGAAGAACCGGCGAAACAAACTCAAGGGAGGCTTTCTATCTTCTTCTTATGTTAAATTATGAAAACAAAAAGAACTAACAGTATATGTTGGTCTTGCAGTGTGTATTCGGGGTTGGGATTTTATCTCCTGTATAATGAGTTCCCAAGCTGGTGGTACATACCAACCATCTTCCCTATTGAAATTTGGTAATTTTTAATCTCAATAGCCTCGCGTATCATTCTAGGAATGAATCGTTGCTCAGTTGCAAGGATCTGTAGTTTATCAAATCTAATCTAATGGTTTGGTCCCCCTAATGCATGTTCACACACTGCAGACTTATTTTCGCGCCTATGTTTCATATCTGCGATATGTTCTTTTACCCGAGTCCCTATACTCCTCTTTGTTTGCCCGATGTAGGAGAGCCCACAGTCGCATTCAAATTTGTAGACACCAGCCAGAATATCGAAAACTCTTAAAATGGTAACACTACAACTTACTTACGATACGAATGTAATCTCGCTTCACTTGCTTGTACTATTGATTACAGAATACGAGAATTCCGTTAAGCGAAATCTTGTGTGATTCGAATGCGGATCCAACGCTAGCAGTGAGATGACTTTGTGGGTTTTACAGAATGGCATTACTGTGCGACGAAGCTTCGGTTGGATTTGATACTGAATGCGCTAAAATTTGCGTTCGAAATTAATTAGTTCTGTCGTAATGAAATTAAGCGGTCTGTGTGTCTAGAGACGCTAAAGGTAGACCGCTTAACTGAGTCCTCGCCTGCGGGGTACAGGGTGTGGGGGAGGACGAGAACGGGGACCGTGAGAGGTGCGGGCGCCGGGCACTCTAATTTTGACAAGTATGCGCCTGCCGCCCGCACCTCTCACGGTTAGCCGTGAGAGCCAGCACTTAAGCAGTTTCTCAATAGACAATAGCTTGTAGCTAAAGGAGCGTACTTAATTCAACGTTCGAACTCTAATTTTAATATCCAAGCCACCTGAAGCTTCGTCAAGCAGGTGTGGGATAAGCATGAGAGTAATGCAATCACCATTAGCATCTCCACTTTAGGACCCCAACCCCAACTCTCCCCAAGTCACTCACATTCCGAAGTTAGTTAATGTCTATCAATACGCCAAAGGAGCTCGATGGCGCAGGTGGTTAGCGCGTTCGGCTGCGATCGTTGAAGTTAAGCAACTTTCGCAGTGGTCGGTCATTGGATGGGTAACCAAAAAACTTCTATTTCGAGTTCCTCCGTGCTTCGGAAGGCACCCTTGGCGTGGAGCCTTAGAACCTTATTCATCGTCAGAAAGACAACACCACCAAAAGGTAGTGTTATTTTATTGTGATCTTCTGTAAGATGGTGGCTACCTCCCCAGGCGGGCGGTCCAATTCGAGCGGGAAATCGGCTATGCCTCTCTTACTTACCTTCATTTAATGAGACTAGCGGCTACACACAACTTTATACAATGAAACTTTATGCAATTCAATTGACGTATCTAAATGCGGCCGGCTTACCACCCAATTACCGTCATCATGACAATTTTGTTTTTTTAATTTATTGTAAGCATTTAAGCTTCCTAGGTGACTAGGTATAGATACTACAAACAAACATAAGCTAAAGACCTTTTCTAAAGTTAGACGAAGTTGTACTAATACTTGAAATCGAATAATTATTGCGCTTCCACCGTGAAATTGGAATGTGACATTATTCAAACACAACCGGCATAGATTTGTCAACATCTACAATGGTGGTTATATTAGTCAAATATGTTGCATTGTTCCATTTTATATGTGTCACGTGCCTGTTAACAGGTATGTTGATATAGTTTGATCCATGATTTAATAAATCATCATAAACAACATAAACAGACACAGAGTAGGAACTCCATTGTAGCTAGTGAAAGGACCGCACGCACACATAGATGCACACTTACACTTACTTCATTTTAACTTGAAATTCCCTTATATGTATACGTTCACCCAATTCACTACTATGGAGCTACGCTTCGTGTAAAATTATTTCGTGAAATCATCATCTATTAATGTCTTCGTAGCACTTCCTTTCCGCATTTAAAGGATCACATCATATGGATAATGGAATAAGCCACAACAACCCACTATGCGAGCCCAGTGAAGACACCACATACCTACCTAGATCGATCTGTAACAGGCACCCTATAGAAATATCAACATATTCCCCTAATTTCAAAACAGATATTACCTTCCTACACTTCTCATCACACAAACATTCGAAGCGATAGAAAAATATGTAATCCCTACTAAAATCCAAATTCGGATTTTCGTTGGTTTTGCTGTAAACATTGCAGATTTCAGGATGTCTGGTGTTTTTTTTTAGATGTGTTAGGCATTCATGTGACTACTGAACTGCCCTCAAAATTACATAATATATTAAAGAAGACGAATGTAACTGAGCTCAAAGACGTACTTAACAATAGCAGAAGGATTATCAATGGTGCAGAAGCACATTCAGATAGACCTTACATGGTAAGTGAAATAAGCGAAAAACATAATCACTTCATTTATTCAAATAAGTGTTACTAACAACAGCAATAGTACCATGTGCAGATGTATGTTGTAAGAATAACAAGAAAACGATAAAAAATCATAAAATCAGAGTTAGTGAACATGATGTTCCATTGTAAATAAATATCATTGAATAATTATAACTATTGAGAGAAATGAAAATTCGTCATGACGCAGGACCTTATGATCCACAATCATCTTGTAGATGTGCTAAACATTAATCTTTCCACAGTTTCAGTTATTTCGCCTTTGAAACAACTCCAAGTTGAAGATGTTCATTTTATTAATTCAGCGAATTATTATATTCAGGTCTATTTGAGACTACCACGAAACAATCCGAAGTACAAAGACTACCGTAGCTGGCTTTGCGGTGGTGTTATTGTACACGAAGAGTATATTCTTACATCTGCCGCTTGCATTGAAGACGCTAAGCATTTCTATGTAGTATCTGGAACATACAGGTACAATGTTTCGTATGGTAAAAATAAAGGGGTGATATCAGTCGGTCGGTCGGTCGTATTAGCCGTCAAAGTAATGATGATATTTCATATTTTTAACGTCATTCTCACTTTATCAATCTGGAATGAGATGCATTTCTGCTATAATATACCTAGGCCAAGACTGATCTGTCTTGTGTTCTTGCGCATCTCATCTAGGACTAATTAGGATAACTTTAAGAGTTATACCACAAAGTAGGTATGTATTCGCAAAGCTCATGATTATGAGTATATTTTTTGCTTTCCTGTCTGTATTTAAGATGAGTATCTTAAATACAGACAGGAAAGCAAAATTTCAAAACAAAATATAAGTATTTAAAGAATTCATCTCCTCATTCATATTCGTTTTAGAAAATAACTCATAACTCATTACAATACTAAAAATTAGGTTACCACTTAGGTACAACGCTGAAGATGATCACTACAGCAATCCGTGTATTAAAAATGGCGCCAAAAAAGCAATATGGAAATGTATTCCAAGAAGTAAGTGCGAAGACGGGTAATTAAAAAGTTTATTTTAAAGTAATATAAGTTATTTACGGGATTGTTAGCATGTACCTTGTTTTTAGCGAGTTTCCGATATTTCGGCACAGTTGCAAGCGCTGTTACTCCGTGATCATGGCGCTTGCAACAGTGCCGAAATATCGGAAACTCGCTAAAAACAAGGTACATGGTAACAATCCCATAAATAACTTATTTTACTATGATGTTAGTGACCATAAAAGTTTTAAACAATATAGTTTATTTTAAAATTAAAAGGAAAGAGAATTGCTTTTTATGTTACACACTTGGTTATGTATTTACTTACTGCAAATGTTCACTGAGCCACAAAAGCTAGTTCTTAGTTTGGTTGAGTGCACTTAAAATGAATTTTATTACGTAACCAGTTATAATGAGCCTTTCTGAAATCAATTTCTAGTCATATTAGTGAAATTAGACGATCTATTAATATCAAAAAGAGCATTATGTAAGTCTTCATCTATGACGATAAATGAAAATTACTGAAATTGACAATTTGATTTGTAGATTACATTTTCGATGGTCACGAGAACGACAATATACGCTGGATGAACAATGATATTGCAGTAGTGAAAATCGAAGATGAGTTCGACTTCACTAGGAGAGTCAGAGGATGCGATTTTGTACCTAAACCCATATGCTATAACAACCAAACGGAAAAATTGGAAAACCCTGGCACCATTGCCTCTATAGCAGGATGGGGCAGTACAGAGAGATATAATGAAGTAAGTGTCTCCCCCATATTTTGTGAGAATCATGAGCATGAGCATCACGAAAGTGTTAGCTAATATTCTCCCAAAAATGCGCATGGGAGTGGCTATTGGGCAAAATATTTTCCGGTATCTATTAAAAAAATATTTTTTTGTTTCTAGGATAATAATAAACAAGATCTCCTTGAAGCAGATGTCAAAGTCATAAGTAAGAACAGGTGCAAGAAACGATGGGGTAAACGATACCACCACATCATCGACAACTACATGATTTGCACCAAGGACCTAATACGGGACCCGAGTGAATTATGCCAAGTAATTCTGAAAACATGTTTTTAATTATTTTTAACTTTTGACTGAAAACTGAGACTGTCTTGATAGATGACTTTGCGTTAACCTAAAATATAATTGGGAAGAGAACAGGGCTGCGTTCCAATGTTCCAAATGTACGCTCTATTTCAATTTTAATATAAGTTTCACACATTTTATCTCCAAATTTAAACGTCAGTTTAAAATGTTGCACTGAAATGAATGAATGAGTTCACATTCCAATAAGTCCTAATAGGTCTACTAAATATACTTATAGAATTAGATATTCATAATACTTAGTTATTTTAGAACGTCTGGATCGCAATAATTTTTACTATCGTTATAATTATTATTAAAGTAAAATACATATTATTAACTATAAAGTTATTTCTAGGAGAAATACGTGGATTGTACCGACATAATGTATTCAGACTCAGAATCTGGAGAGCCAGAAACTAGAAGAGTCGTCGACCCGTCCAACCTTGTTCTACATTCGGCCTACCATAACGCATCTGGTAGAAGAATAAGTTACGAGCCCGCTGGTGGATTTTGTGAGGTATTCATTTATTTTGATTACATGGGAGACCGACAACAATGACCTATATTCTATTAATTACAAAGAAACAAACTAGAACAAGAATAGTGCGTATAACCGACGACGCTCGCTAGTGTTAAAAAGATCTAAGTTTACTTGTTTTGTTAGTGAAATTAAGGTCCTACTCGTCTGACAATGAAAAACATTCTTATATTATTATTTCCCTCCTCAGAAATATTTCTGATTTTGAATAACATAAAATAACACAAAATTATTAAAAAAATATATCCAAATCGGAGTTATTTTTGGTATGAAAGTTGGACTTTCGACCAAAAATTTTATCATATAAACAAGTGACTACTGGGTGAAGAGCTCAAAGAGAGTTCTCGCTGGCACTGTGAACAGAATATATTTCATATATATGATATGGGTTCGCGTATCTCTTTTGCTGACATCTACTTGCGTTCATAAAATTCTAAGTGATGCTAAATTATCTTTTTGTAACCGTAGTTAAAACCTATCCCATGCTTCCTATGCTATAAAGTTGATATTCTTTAAAAAACATAGCTCTATGTGAAATTGTGAGCTTCTGTGATTTCTAATAAATGAGTTTTCAAAAGTTAAATAATTGTATACGTTTTTTTAATCGTGCTGTTAAATTAACAAAAAGAATAATATAATACTAAGGACTAAGCTTAATTTGTTCATTTCATTTTTGCTTTGTGTTTCAGAATGATCACGGTGGACCTCTAGTCTACGGGAGCGGTGCTAATTCCATGGTCATAGGGATCATTTCAGCTTGCCTGGTCAAAGAGAGAACTAACAAGTGCTATGGACCGTTCTTATATACGAGTGTCTTTAAAAACAGAATTTTGATTAATTGCGCAATTTATAAGGATGCAGCGTAAGTAGCGCCATTGAGATAAGTATAAATACTAATGGGGAATATTCATGATTTTTCTAAATATCTTTATTAAGTAATTTACATCCCCTTTATAAGGTTAAAAAAAAGTTACGTCTAAAAAAAAATAGTATAAAGTGACTCAAAACTAATTAAAAAATAAAAATTACCACTTTACACGGGCATTTTAAACGCGTACTAGCTTCGAACGCTTAGATGTGACGTCATGATACATCTGAACCTACGAACAAGATCAATAACCTTATAGGATACTATCATTTTGCGTTCCATACCTTTACTGTGGATGGAAGTTGAAACCTAACTCAATCAAATAGACATCATGTTTCATAAATTTTTAGAAAATAAAAAAAAAAACTAAAAATTTAAATATCATAGTGAAAATTTGCATTCGGTGTCTAGGTGGAACCAATGACTAAAGAAGGTGGAACGCGACTCTGACATCTACGTACTTGCACTATAAACTAGTTGACATTGACATTCCCTAACTATTTGGCATTACTGTTTTTTTTAGTTGTTATAATTATTATTATTTGATTATCTCTTTTTCTTAATTTTATTGAATTTAATGAATACCTTCCATGATTGTTAATATTTTGTATGTATGACTTGCCGGCGTGTTGGATTATTCTGTAAGCCTGCATGTTTAAATTGAATAAATAAATAAATAAATCCTGTGAACATTGATTTTTACGTCACAACCGCTCTTGTCGCTTTTCAAATATTTGAGTTTCCCACAAGTTTTTCGCACTATGATATCATTAATTTGCCCGAATAGAAATTGTATGTATTGAAGGAGGAAAAACTTAAAAGTAATAGAGTTTAATGATAAAATAAAATGAGGCTTATTTGAATTACATGCATATTCCCTTATGATGCAAAAACAAACAAATATGAAAAAAATAATTATTGCGATGTTTGATAGTATCTATTAAGATTCGTGAGATTGCGAAGATTGTATGACAATACCATTTCCGTTTCTTTCATTAAATCGTCTAATCACCGATGATCATTAGACGTTTTTCAACCTGGAAAGTTTAAAAGAGTTTTATCTTGATGATTTTTAAAAGTTCAAAAACAAAATTTACTCATACTTTTGTTTCAGACTGGACTGCAACAAGCTTTTCCGATCGAGTATAACTTACACTGAAGAAGAAATAAGTTGGGCAGATCATCCTGACGGGTAATATGAATTAAAAAAAATCCTAACTGGTAGTTCTTTAAAGTTTTTAGCTATCGTTCCTGAACAGCTATGTGGCCAAATATTAGGTAAATTTGCCTTTCGGAAAGCTTAACACTGGTTCCCGTGAACAAGTGTTAAAAGTTGCTGTTTCATGACATATTACTGAACACGCAGATCGGTGCGGCCAATTTTTGAAAGAAACCGCGCGGATGTTCGCCTAATGTAGTTTCAACCCTTAGATATCAACACAATAATCAAGTCAGTATTTAAAAATTTAGGGCATAAGAAAAATAGAAATAAAAAAACGAGTGTGGTCACACGTGGCACACGACTGAAGTGAAACTTCTTTAGCTTCATCTGTATGTATGTATATATATTATTATGTGTGTGTGTGTGTACATGTATGTACATATACATATTACATTTAATAGCTATAAGAGACAGCCCCCAAGTCAAGCATGCAAAAAGAAGTTTCACATCAAAAAGTATAATTTTTGTAAAGAATATAAGTAATATTAAGTACTAGTTGTGCCCACGATTTCGTTCACGTGGATGTCGGAAAATAACCCCACTCCACACTTATCACTTAGTGGTATTATATTGTCTGCGACCTTCACCTATTCTCAGACCTACGAAATAATACAAAACAGTTAATAAAAATCAGTGCATCAGTTTCGGAGCGGTTCGATAACAAACACCGTGACACGAGATTTTATATATTACTTAGATTTAAATCTCAATCTCTCTTCACAATATACGAATCTCGAATGCTTATCTCATTGAACTATGTGAGGTCTTTAACTCTTAATTCTTCTTAAACACTACTTACAGGCCTGCAAAAAACGAAATAGCTAAGCTTAGACGAAACAGTAATAACAATACGTTAGCACTGAAATTCACGAAATATACTCGTGACATGGTTGAACAACCTGAAGGCGTTTATGAACGAGCATCACGCGGAAAAATGGATATCCAATATAAGAACACAACGACCAGATGAAAAATTAATAAAATCGTCATATGAATGTTTTGTTGTTTTATTCGAAATCATACCAAATTATGATTAAAAAAAATAGTAATTAATTTATTAAGTAATTTATTATATTTTGTATGTGGGCTACAGTATAAAAAAAGTTTATGGATGCTGTGTCGAAATAGCATTTTCTAAGTGTTATTTCATTACCTTTATTGATGAGATTACCTGATGTTAAGTGACGGTAGAATCCAAGCTGGCGTAGCATTACTTTTTTAGAAAAAGAAAATGGAATACCTGCGATGAAATTCGATTTTTTATGCTTTTCAAAACACAGAATACCAAAATTACAAGGACTTTTTTCCGACCCGTTTTTGTGGCTCATCAATAAAGTTAGGAGTAAGTAATGAAGAGATAAAATATCATGTCCTACCAAAGTAAGCATTAAATATAAGAAAGATCGTAATCTGAATTTGACCGAAATTGGCACCCTAAACGCCGTAAAGATTTCTCATAAAAGAAAACTATGTAGGTAGTCAATATCCTATCAAATTGGTTCAACATTTCTCTATTTTAGCAGTTGTTTTATAATCTAAGCCCGACAATCAATTAGTAATGTTTTTTTTGTAGATAACAGAAATAGGGTAAAGGAGATCCAACAATTTTTACTAGTAATTTAAACAAATGATAGAAATCCTAAACTATTTACTCTAATAGCCGAAATGAGTTATTGCTTAGGAAACCCAAGCAAAGTCTATTTTCGGAAAAGAGCTTATCCAGGTTGGGTAAACTCTTTGATGTAAATGGACTTTTCTAATCTCAGGGGAATAGTGCAGGTCAACTGTGAAATAAATACAAGAAGTGTTTGATTTTTCCTGACAAAAATGTCTACTTTTGTGTAATGGGTTATAGAAACATTGACATCGGTAAAAACTTTAACATACATATTAATTTCATAACTTCTGTTTTTTCCAATTAACTTTTGGCATCCGGCATGAAATTATATTTTGATTTGAAGTTGTCCAACCTTTTATTGCTTCCTATTGTTGCAATGGGTTTCGCAAGAAAGAATATTTTCTACTTAATTGTATTTATACTATATTTTTCATGTAGGTATAATTTGGCTTTATTTAAATATTTGTAAAGTAACTATGCCATCATTTAGTTAATTAATAAAAAAAACGATGAACTTAATTCTTCAGATATAAACGCTTTAGAAGTAGCAACCGAACTCCCGAAAAAAGTAGAAGCGATTCTAAATGAAACGAGGCGAATTATTAATGGAGACGAAGTAACTGATGGTCGACCTTATATGGTAATATTATGATAATAATTAATATTATGTTTCTAAATATAAATATAACAGTGAGTACTTAAATTTTAATGTATTCTTTGTATCTTGTTTAGTAAAACAGCTGAAAAAGATAATATGTAAAGAACTTCATTAACTTTTTATTAAAGTATACTTGCAGAAATTTTACTTGAATTAGAATGCCCGTCAAACGAAATAACCTCCTCGTTATAGCAAACCCGGTGGAATTTCGTTTTTTTTTGTATTGCGTGTTTTTTTCGGTGAGTAAGGTTTTTAAGGTTCTACAGGGCAGTATAGGAACCCTAAAAAGTATATTTTTGGCATAAGAGAGACTTAATAGTATAATTAGAAAAAATGGGGAGTGAGGAGAGAAGGGAACTAAGATCTTAACCGGCCTGTCAACCTTACTTGCAGTGCTATTCGTAAGAAAAAAACTCACATTTTGAATGATTTTGGTGTAATATAATACCTCAAAATAATGAATTTTTATTTATATTTTAATATACAAATAAAAAATCATTATTTATACCACAAATAAAAGATCTAAAATAATGTTAAAGGTCTATCTAAAACTACCACGAAGTAACAAGAAACAACCAAACTACCGCACATGGTTATGCGGGGGTGTCATAATACACGAAGAGTATATTTTAACTTCTGCTGCTTGCATCGAAGATGCTGAACATTTTTACGTAGTTTCTGGAACTTATAAGTAAGAAACGGCATTCAAATATAAATTGTTTTTGAAAAAATACGATATCCCGATAAAAAAAACTAATGTCATAATTCTATCTCTAGGTACGCTGATGATGATGACAGATATAACAATCCATGTATCAAAAACGGCGCAAAGAAAGCCATCTGGAAGTGTGTTCCAAAAAGTAAGTAAACAGTGGAATTAGTTAGTGGCTACACGTAATATTGAAGTAAAGATTCATATTACAGTATTTAGCATTCACATTTGTTTTTAAGATTATGTTTTCGATGGACACGAGAACGACAACATTAGATGGATGAACAACGATATAGCCGTAGTGAAAGTGGAAGATGGATTTGATTTCACCAGAAGGATCAGAGGCTGCGATTTTGTGCCGAAACCTATTTGTTACAACAACCAGAGTCAAACCTTGGAGAATCCAGGTTCCATCGTCAGCATTTCCGGTTGGGGAACTACTTCTAGATATAATGACGTAAGATTTTACCTGAACTACATTTTTGAATCTATAAATGCTTTTTTAAACTTGATTTATAATCCTATTAAATTAATGTATACTTGCACATACAGTGGGTGAACAGAAGAAAAGAAAATCAGCAAAACTTACTAGAAGCTCAAGTAGAAATCATCACAAAGAGCAAGTGCAAGAGGCGATGGGGTTCCCGTTACCATAACATCATCGAAAACTATATGATTTGCACCAAGGACATTGGTCAAACTATGTCCGAAATATGTAACGTAAGAGAAAAACAGATTGTTTCTTTCTATCCATCTATTAATTGCCAACTTTAAGCAAATTTGATAAAAAATACTTAGTGTCATTAACACTTGTTTCACAAATATTTCATTAGCTTCGTAAAATGAAGAAGTATCACAATGAGTAATTTTGTTATATTTACCAAATAAATTTTCAGGAAAAGTATGTTGACTGCCAAGACATAAACTACTCTGATGAAGAGGATTTGAGGAGAGACGGGCGCGTAGTCAGGAGTGAAAAGATACCAACCAATCTAAAATTACACTCTGCTTATCACAACGAATCGTCTGGCAATGGCTCTGTCGACAGGAGGAGCAACGTTCACGTCGATGGTGGTTTTTGTGAGGTTAATGCCACTTTTTAAGACGTTTTGTTGATACACTTATGTGAAGTTCCCAACCATCCACTTGCCGTTTGGCGATTAGCAGGCAATGTTTACATATTTTTTGTCGCCGTCTGACGGTAACTCGACAAGCGAGAGGTCAATTCATTGTAGCGCTACATTCGGCATTGTTCAAGCATTACAACAATGCTGACCAATATGCTGACGGAAAGGACTCAATTAGTGACAAAATGCCACTTTTATCCGTTGATAGATTTTTAATTGCAGATAGCATCCAGTTAATAAGAACTATTTTTGAGTCTCCAACTATATACGTTCTAGCAATCATGAAATCATCTATATTCGAATTAAAATCAGCTCCTGTTATTTTTTTATGCATTTCTGACATACTTTAATATAAATCTATTCATTCTTACGATTGAGTTGTCAACCTTATGTCGATTTCATGTATTTAACGATATATCTATCTTTTCCTATAGAATGACCACGGTGGTCCACTAGTTTACGGTAATGGCGTCAATTCCATAGTCATCGGTATTATTTCGGCTTGCCTTGTCAAAGAGAGGACTAACAAGTGTTATGGGCCATTCCTCTACACTAGCGTCTACAAGAATCGGCAGTTCATCTCCTGTGCTATATACAAGGAAGTTGAGTAAGTAAGCCCAGCTGGTAGAACCAATAATATCGAAAAACATCACTTAAAAATGATCTAATCTCAAAGTCACAATACTAGGACAATCATGATCTGAATCAGATAATTACGAAACAAGCGACGGTAGATATAAGAATTTTGTAGTTTAGTATAGAGTTTAATTTTATAACAAATAGTCTAGGTTAGTTATATCGAGTAGGTGATCTTGGAAAGACACACTCTATAACACTAATAAAATAATGTAACACGAAAAGGCACAGACCGAGAGTCTGTAAACTTTAAAAAATAATATTTATAACTCACGATTTTGTTATGTAATATTTATAATTCACGATTTTGTTATGTAAGCGACGGTAGATATAAGAATTTTGTAGTTTAGTATAAGAGTTTAATTTTATAACAAATAGTCTAGGTTAGTTATATCGAGTAGGTGATCTTGGAAAGACACACTCTATAACACTAATAAAATAATGTAACACGAAAAGGCACAGACCGAGAGTCTGTAGACTTTAAAAAATAATATTTATAATTCACGATTTTGTTATGTAGTTAACTTAAAAGATGTTTAACTTTTAATCAAAGATAAATAGTTTTTCATAAACATACGAGTACATTATAAACTTTCCGGCTGTAGAAACACCCGCGCCAAGTAAAAATAGATAGTGACCTTAACAATATACTCTTTCTACAATTGATTACAAGGAAGAATATGAATACAAAGTCACGATTCAATTCTTAGGCGACTATAATATAAGATAAAATCTAATTTTATATTTCCGTTATTTTATTTGGTATACAGGCCCAGATGCAGGAGGCAGTTCCGTTCCGGCATCACCCACGTGGAGAAAGTGCTCTCGTGGAAAAATCATCCAGACGGGTACAGTTAAAAACTAAACTAAAAATTAAATGGAATTTTCAAAATAGCATTAAATTGTGGGTCATGAATTTTGCAGCACATTCTGTGTTGTTCGTTTTATTTCTGTTTTAGCTGTAAAAAATAAATTGAGGACAGGTGACTTATAATGCAAAGAAAATTGTAGTAAAAAAAGTAGGCTCCGGCCCCAGTTATCATGCTGGATAGATTTTTCAAGGGGACTTCGATACTAAAACGTTATGTTTTTCGGCAGTTTTATCACTGTGTTTTAAATGTAAAACCTTGCATGTATTATGAAACCCTTTAAGTTAGATATTTTTTACCTAATGTATTTCACTTAATACTTTCTCACGAGCTCAGTGACGATAGATTTGAAATTTTTAAATAATAGGCACCACTTTAACGAAGTCTTTTAATATTTTACAGCCCTGCCAAGAATGAAGTTGAAGTGAATAAACCTGAAAGCAGACCAGAGATTATACACCGAGCCCAGGAAACTACAGTGGACGCTTCTGGAGACAAAGTATTTTCCGGCAGTGGTTTCATACTCCGAGGAACCAATGATACTTTATTATTAGCAAAAGTAAACAGTACAGCGGTGTAATGTGTAGTTTAACATAAATAAATATGGTTGGAATTTAAAATTTTTATTTTTCCTTAACCAGAAATCCCTAAACAAAAAGTGTAATGAAACGAAAAGTATAAGATATATAAAGTATAGATTTTATTAAAAAAAACCCTCAATTTTAATATTCATCTAGAACATAAATGTGGGATGATTACGAACTTGATAATTTAAAAAACGATAACAATGATTCAAGACTATTAATTATGCAAGGTCACTTTACATCTAGATACTTAACGTAAACGATTGAATTTAATAAGTTATTGATATTAAATATTGCTAATACTAGATACCTATACCAGAAAAAACTTTTTTTATTTTTAACTGGTGAATGTTGAAAAAAATCATTATCTTAGAATAAGCATAGCACATTTCTGTTATATGTTCTTGTTAAGATAACTCAAAAAATATAGGTATTATGTTTGTACGTATATGATTTGATTAATCATGAATGAGATAAAATTTAATTTTCTTGGACTTTTGATGGATAAGCAATAATAATAAAATGTGGTATTTAACTTTTTATTAAAACTCCGATAGTAAAGGAATTTTTTTGATTAATTTCATCGAAGCACAACGGTACTGCAAATTGAGCAAGAAATTGATGAACTTCATTTTATTAATATTTGAAATTGAAACAATTTGATGCGATCTTTTCGAGATCGCTGTTCACCACAAAATGACGAATTTTAGTTTTATTTTAATATCGTTAGGAATTATTTTAGGTAAGTGTGAATCATTTATGTTTCATTTCGAATACTTAACTTATGCATATTATAAGGATACTTCACGAGTTTAGTAAAATTATATAAGCTACTTGGTAAAATTGTTTTAAAAGGTGTGTCAGCAATTCCTCAACCACCAAATGCAGCAGTAGAAACAAAAACAGTAGATATAGTGAAACCGGATGACAGTACGATCGTTAAAACTTCAGTAAATAGCCATGGTGATGTCGACGACGAAGATAAAGGTTGGGAATACGAAAATACAACTTTCGTCGATACAAGAAGAATACTTTACAGCAAAAGGGTCCTTCCGGCCAAAAGGCCTTACATGGTAAGACGTTAAGGATACATTAGTTGTAATAGCTAGTTATTGCTTTTTCCAAACAGATAAGAAGTTGGAACTGTATAAACGGAATTCTGAAACATATTTTTAATATTTTTTCTTTGTTGGCCCAAAGGTTTACTTACAATTGACTAAAGAATCAGCTAAGGCTCATAAGTACCGTGGCTGGCTATGCGGTGGAGTTATCGTGGACCCCTACTACGTGCTCACGTCGGCCGCTTGTGTTGAAGACGCCGACCGCTTTTACATAGTCTCTGGAACTACTAGATTTGTAGATAGTTTCGACTACAAATCTGACGATTGCGTTTGCAAGCATCGACGTAAAGTTGTGTGGAAATGTATTCCGAAAAGTAAGCTTATTCTTAATTTATTTTATTTTCAAATTAATTGCGGACGTATTATTTATATATATTTTTCGTATGTATGATTAGCTCAAGCTTATGTTAAGACCATCTCAATACGTGAGGTTTTCTGGTTTTGACTCATTAAAATCAGTTGCAATTGACTAATTAAGAAAGCAAATATTTTTAAAGGAGTTTTTTAATAACTTTCTGCAATATATTATTATAATAACTATGTTTTCACTAGATTACAAGTTCGACTTCCAAGACAGTATCAAATGGTCTTCCAACGACATTGCTATCGTTAAAGTTGATAGACCGTTCAAACTGGGAGTTTGCGAGAAGGGCTGTGAGTTTGCCACCGATATCATTTGCTACAACAACATTAGTAGAGAGCTGGAAAAGGCCGGCACAAAGGGATACATCGCTGGTTGGGGAAGTGGCAATAACTTCAGAGAGGTCAGTACTAACTTATGAGGTTCATTTTACCAAGAAATTCAAGATAATCATTATCATTAGCCTATTTTATATCCCTATTGGTGTTGGCTTCCCTTTATACAAATAAAACAGACCGATACCCATCATATCACGCAGGATCAATGCAAACTAATATGTTCTATCGACTGCAGACGCAGCCAAGGCGGCTTAACGTGACTTCCGAATTCGAAAGACGAATAAAAAAGCAAGAATGGTCGGGTTATTGCTCAAGTTTCTTATGTTTCATAACCGAACCTCTGTACCATCGAGCTCCTCGTCCCAAAATTTATCACAAACAATTATAAACAAAATGATAAATATTAGTGAACAAATACAATTTATCTTTTTTTTTTTTTTTTTTTGATTTATTGTATTTACTTTGGGTACACTTGATAACAAAACATTAAATCTTGCCAAACTGAGAACAGTTTGTTGGCAAGTAACTGCGCTAAAACTAATTACTTTACAAGTGCACTACAATCTAAATAATAATACAAACAAAACATATACACAACAGCAGCAATACGACAGTGAACCAGACATTATATATATCACACCATTCCACATCACCGCAACAATATTTTATATAGTTTTTAGTAACACATTTTTTATATTAGATTTTAAAGATTTTTTTGTAAACTTAGGTTCTTTTCTAAGCCACACCATTTCGTTGTACATAATCGGCACCAAATATCTATTTAATCTTTTACCGTAGCAGTTTTTATATCTTTGGATTATTAATTTACCCCCTCTGACACCTCTGGTGTTATACTTATTTTCAACAGGGATTTTAAACCTGTCATCATAATAAAAATCTACAGCTAATTGATATTTGATTTTTAAATCTATCGGTGGTATTTTTGTCACTGAATACAACATTCTATAGTTTCCTTTACAATTATGTTTATCATTTTTACTAACTAGATACTTTACTAATCTTGTCTGTAAATCATATAGACCTCTTATGTAGCTTTTATAGGTACGACCATATACAACCATAGCGTAGCTCAGCAACGAATCAACTAAGGCATAATATACAACACGAAGTGTTAGCCTGTTTACTGCATATTGCAGTAGATAAAATCTACTTAAAACAGATCTTATTTTCCCACATAATGTATCTATATACATTTTGAAATGAAAATGTTTATCTATTAACAACCCTAGATACTTATAATTGACAACATATTCTAAAGGTTTACATTCACAGCTATTTGTGCTATTGTGCAAGCAGTCATATGTATGTCCCACGATTCCTATATTATTGTAATTTATACGATTAGACCTTCTGGCGAAAGAGGAACATATGTGCATCGCTTTCGTTTTATTTATGTTTATAATAATGCCGTTGTCATGCGCCCACTTAACTATATTATCGAAATCTTCCTGAATTGCATTTCGAGCTTCGTTTATATTTTCTGAAGCATATAATAGGCACATGTCATCAGCATACATTAATACATTACATAGTTTTATGACATTAACAACACTGTTCACCAACATCACGTACCCAACCGGTCCAAAAACTGAACCGGTTGGTACACCCAAGGTGACCTTGGACTCCTCTCCAGTGATTCCGTTAATCATTGTTCGCATAGTCCTTTTAGTTAGGTAATTTTTGAACCACTGGTTAGTAGGACCACTAACTCCACACTCCTCCATGGCCTGGAGAAGAATGTCATGATCCAGGGTGTCAAAAGCTTTTTTATAATCAATGAACAGCGCTATCACTTGTTTTCCATTGTTGAGGCTATCGTTAATTATTTCAGCAAAGTTACTTAAGGCTGTTTTCGTACTACGCGCGCGTCTGAATCCGTGCTGCTCATTCGCCAACAAACTGTTATTTTCTAAAAATGGACATACTTTCCCAACTATCACCTTCTCAACAATTTTATTTATAGCCGATAATATTGCTATTGGACGATAATTTGTAAACTCATAATGACTTCCACTTTTGTAAATAGGTCTTATTATAGCACTTTTTAATTGATTTGGATAAATACTTTTTGCCATACTAATATTTATAAAATGAGCTAATACGGGACTGATTTTTTCTTTAATATATTTTAAGTCTTTCATTCTAATTTTATCTATACCTGGTGATTTTTCACTTGAAATATTACAAATAATTTTTGACACTTCCTTCTGGGTAGCTTTAACAAATCTAAACGATATATTACTGGCTGTTACGTACGATTTTCTATTTAAGAATTTTATATTACACACATGCTTTATTTCCTGAATTTCTTTGGTAAATGTTCTGGTAAAGCCATTACATACATTTAATAAATCACTATTCTTCCCTAAATATTTTAATATAACACTATCTACATTTGGTTTTGCTCTCCCCAGCCAATTATTTATATTTAACCATATTTTTCTATGATCACCATTTGTTTCGTCGTTAATGCGTAGTTATTTAATAAAGCGCCAGTTTTCTTGTACAACGTATATTATGTAGAAATTACAAAAAATAAAATATATCAGACGAAAAATTGCTTGTTAACGTTGAGCGTACAAAAATTTGAATTTTTTTGCGTAGAGAGAGGTATAGGGGGGGGGGGGTTCATCACGTGGGTCACAGCTGCTCTTACTGGTAGAAAGATGATGCGACGTTCCGGTGCAGGCAGAATTTCTTATCGTCTTGCCTGAACATGCCCCCGGCCTTGGAAGTACCAGCGTCCAACACCAGCTAACTATCATCAGTATCTTCCTCAAACCCAAATAATGGACAGATCCTGGGAAATGCGCGTCGTACTACTCCCGCTGCAGTCTGGATATCAGCTACTCGCGTAACTCCATCTCGCCCTGGCTTGGTAGCAATGATACGGCCTAGACTCCATTTCAGAGGTGGAGAGTTATCCTCTTTGATGACAACTAGGGTATTGGGTCGTAAGGCATCTGCATTCACCTTCCATTTCGACCTTGTTTGCATCTCCGAGACGTACTCCTTACTCCAACGAACCCAGAAATGTTGTCTTAGCTGCTCTAGCCTCTGGTAGCGTGTCAGCCGATGAGCAGGAACATCAGTCAACTGGTCTGTAACAGGCGTTGTGAGGGGACGACCAACCAGGAAATGAGCAGGACACAAGGATTGGAAGTCGTTGGGATCGGATGACATGGGACTCATAGGTCGGGAATTCAAGATGGATTCTATTTGTGATAACACTGTGCTGAATTCCTCAAAAGTCAAATGTGCATTGCCTACTACCCGTAATATGTGGTATTTGCACGACTTGACACCAGCCTCCCATAATCCACCAAAATGAGGTGTGTGCGGCGGTATGAAAGAAAACTTGATATCCTGACTAGTTGCGTATTCTATTATGTCATGGGAACAATTACTAATGAATTTAGTGAATTCGTTAGCAACACCAACAAAATTCCTGCCATTGTCAGATACTATTTGTGCAGGTTTGCCTCGTCGAGCAATAAACCGTTTTAATGCGAGAAGGTAAGCGTCTGAAGAAAGATCACTGACAAGCTCCAAATGTATAGCGCGAGTAACGAAGCATATGAATAAACATATGTAGCTTTTTACTAATCTCGAGCCCCTACCCTTGCGGTTCAATGTGAACACTGGCCCAGCGTAGTCTACCCCAGAATACAAAAAAGGAAAGCTTGGAGTTACTCTTTCCTCCGGTAAGTTACCCATGATAGGAGTTAAGGTCTTGCCTCTCAATCGTGTACAAGTAACGCAACTATGTACGGTGCGTCTAGCGAGGTTCCTACCCCCTACTGGCCAAAATGTTTCCCGCACGTTATACAGCAACGCTTGGGGTGCAGCGTGGTGCAACCGCTTATGCTCGTGGCGAAATAATAAAACCGAAAACCAATGTTTAGACGATAATAAACTTGGGTGCTTCTTATCGTAGTTAAAACAAGAATATTTAATTCTCCCACCCACTCGTAAAACCTTATCTTTATCGAAAAATATATTAAATTTACTTAAATTATGCTTAGAATTTAAGCTAATATTATTGGATAATAATTTGTACTCCTCCGAAAAAGATTCCTGTTGACACAACCTAACTAGAGTAATAGTTGCGCTTCTTATCTCGTCAACAGTGAGGGTTCCGAGACGTCTATTGCGCTTATTTCGGGTATTATAAATAAAACGTAGTACATATGCACAAGCTCGTGTCATACGACTAAATTGGGAAAACCTTTGAAAAGGAAACAAAAACGTTTGATTTTCTGTAAAAAATGTACAGACTACCGTCGGCTTTGTTTCTGGTAAATCTGTCACCGAGGCATTGTTATTCAATGAACATGGATTAAAATTATAGTTATGTAAAAATGATGGACCTTGCCACCATAAACTAGAAGACTTGAGATCATCTAATTTTACTCCCCTGGATACCAAGTCAGCAGGGTTATCCTTCCCATTAACATGACACCATGGTAATTCCTGAGTTAGTTCTTGTATCTCAGCAACCCTATTCTGAACAAAAGTCTTTAATAATTTAGGAGCCATGCGCAGCCAACCTAGTACAATGGTGGAGTCACTCCAAAAAGTTATATTATCAAACGTATAGTTAAGTGAATCGCATAATTTTTTATATAGCCTAGCGCCTAATAATGCCGCGCATAATTCCAGTCGCGGAATACTAACAGGTTTTAATGGTGCAACCTTTCCTTTTGAACAGTACAATCTAACAACTACAGACTTGTCACTGTTGATTGTACGTAAATATATTGCTGCTCCATATGCGGATTCTGAGGCATCAGAAAATATGTGAAGTTCACGGCACACAGGATCACTCCCCACAACATGTCTCGGCACATGTATGTGATTAAGATTGTACAAAGAACTTGAAAATATGTTCCAAGTCTGCGCGACGTCACCAGACACCTCATCGTCCCAACCTAGCCTTAATAACCACAACCGTTGCAGAATAATTTTAGCTATCATAATGAATGGGCTTAATAAACCTAACGGGTCAAAAATTTGCGAGACCGTTGACATTATGTATCGTTTA